CCAACCAACCAACCATCCAACCATCCAAGCAAACAAGCAACCAAGCAACCAAGCAACCAACCCACCCATCCCACCAACCAACCAAGCAAGCAAGCAAGCAACCAGCCAACCAACCAGCCAAGACAGCGCCAATACTCCACAATGCGCACAGACACACACATGACAATTGCCTACCTGCAGCGAAGGAAGAGCTATTCGAAGCTTTGGCTTTGGAAGCCTTGAAGAAGTCTCGGTCTCGGGGTGTTGCGATTCTCTGATGCAGTGCGTTCTAGGCTGTTGCAACTGTTGGACAAACCGGCTCGCGGCAGCTGCAGCTGTTTGGGCTTGCAGCTTGTGCTTCACTCTGTCAAGGTGAGCTCCTGCCACTTTACTTACTCTTTTTCGTTTTTGGATTCAGGTGATGTAGCAACCGGAGCAATGAAACACCAGTCCTTCCGATAGACCGAGCTTTTCGTAAGCAAGGATGAGTGCTGCTGCCGCCTCTGCTTGGATTGGGCGCTCGCATTGCCGACTCCAGGTTGAAGTCGTGTCATGTGTTAGATATGCGGCTTTGTTGCTTGGAAGGCCCGGGCCATAAAACCCGAGGACAGGTCAATGATGCGACCCAGGTGAGCTTACTCTTGGCTGCCTCTGCTTCCCAGCTGCGAACTCTCAGAAGCTGTATTTGGGAATGGTTGAGCCTTGTGTCAGCACAACCACTTGTGCAGCACGTCCTTTCTGTCCGTCTGTTGCCGTTCTCTCAAACCAGTCGTGTCACTCTCACATCTCTGCAAACCACCATTCGGCTTCTCCCGTGCTGCCCGACCTCAAACCTTGTTCCTGCTGCTGCCGCCTTCACTGCAAGGCGCGAAATGGACGATCCCTCCGGCCGTAGCAAGGAGCATCCTCTCCGGAACATCAGACAAGCGAGAATAACAGACATTATCAGATTTTCCCTGGTTATGCAGATGTGGCAGTGTCAGTACTACCTTGAACTTGTCCGTCTCGTCACCACGCCCTGGCTCTCCCTCCTGCGCACCAAACAGCTCCTGTGGAGATGAGTAGCATGCATCATGCCCGAATCTACGCCAATCCGCTTAGTCCAGTTGAACGTGCTTCCGCGCGCGTCCGCCTGCATGCTCCCAGTGACCAGTGCAATGCTTCTCGGTTCTAGAATTGTAAGTACAGAGGCAAAATCATTTGCACTAGTCTCCGCTCACCCAGCTCAGGTTGGAATTATATTGGCGAAGCTTGGAGGGAGTTTAACTTTCTTTCAGTTACGTCGTGACGAACCCATCGACCTCCCAGAGGGCCTGGAAGTCTAGCGTGCCGATTGGGGCAAACCAATGTCGCAGTAAGGATCCGTGATGCCGTTGGCACATACCAGCACGGCTGCATCGTGCACCAACGGTACGGCTTCCGGACGTTGCTTGGCCCGCAGGGCGGCCCACATGCATGAGAAGGTCGAGGTCATGTTTAATGGAATTCAGAAAGTGTGATTTCTTGTTGGGTGGCGCGGGGCCAACGAAGTGGTGTGACTCGATGCCTGTGGCGTCACTCGGGCCCCACTCGTTTACAATTGTTGCAGGTTCTGCGTCGTGGAGCTTCTTGACTCGCTGTTCCTGCTTCCATGTACCTTTCAACTGTCCCAGGGCTGCAGTGTGGTCCAACGGCTCAGATGTCGATGTTCAAGCGTATCCAGTGCATGGTCAGTGTCATATGTTGCGAGCTGAGAGGAGTTGCATTCGACATCTCAAGGTTTGGTCTAGGTTTTTGTATGATGGCCCTTTCCTGCCGTGTGTGTGGCAAGTCTTAGGATCTGCCTCACGGTCAACTATGATGATCGAGTTCAGTCACGGTTGCAGGAGGCTGGCGCGATGTGCTGAGGTTGAGTTCGAATTTTGGGCTTGACATTCAGCTCGCACTGAGGTTGGAGAAGGTGTGATCTGATTTTAGGTCATGCTTGACAATCTACAAGGCTCGCCACGGCTTGTATTCAGGCGAAGCAGGAGAAGGAACGGCTGTCGGCTGCGTATCATCGCTGCATCCAGGAGATGGATGCTGGGCTGAAATTGAAGCTTTGCGTCCTGTTCCACTTGCTGCTTGTCTCTGGCAGCGTGTCGTGCCTCGCCTGAGGATGAGAAGCTGCGGGCCGTTTCCGAGTCCAACATCCTTCTGGCGGAACGATCGTTTGCGGACAGGTGGGGCGCGGTAAATCAGAGCTGTAGCCAGGCAACTTAGTGCGTGTTATTGTAGCAGAGAAACCAGACTGGAACTAGGTGACTATGTGACTTTACCCATGCGAGGGCTTACGTGGACTCCTGAACGTTGCAATCAACATGCAGAGGAAGAGGGATTTTGCGGCCTTCTTGGGGCAGTTGATCGTTTGGTGCCCTCGTGTGCCGGCACACCAGCAGGAGCCAATTAACGGATGTGGGAAGATGTCGGCGTCCCACGTTTGTGAGCATTCGAAGGAGCTGTTGCGGCACGAACTGCGCAGCTTCGTTGATCTCTGGCTGCGGGTCTATGGCGAAGCATCAATTGACCCTGCCAAGAGGCCGACGATTTACAACATCACTCTTTGGACTTGCACAGAGGATGCATTTGTTGTTCGACCCTCTTGGTGTTCAACAGTGAACGGCATCTGTTCTGGTTTTATGGACAGTAATATCAGAGGTGTTACAACAGATGGACGGTCTTGCTCAATTGCTCGAATGTGAGGCTAGGACTGAGTGACAGCACAGGCTGCAGTTCGACTGCTCGGTGTTGGACAAGTGCAAGACGGCAGAGGAATCGAAGATACCGAAGCGGCCGGCAAGTTGCGCAGCGTTGTTCATGTTACAAAGTAGTCGGGCTAGTTACTCTGGACTTGGACGCAGTCGCTGAACCAAGCGATTCGATGCCACTGTGCGTGGTCCGCGGCCGTCGCATCTCTCAGCATTCTCTTAAGGAGACTGCAGTGCTAGGCGTTGCAGGCCATGGGCGACCCATGGCGCAAGATATTGCACCAGCTGACCGCGGAGCTGGTCGCTGGGCGCTGGATTTAGACAAAGCGGGCACTGTGCCTGTGCACGTCTTTGTGCTCGCTCCCTGGCTCAGGAACGCCAGTCCTCCCGCCTACGTGAGCTGGAGTTGGAGAATCAGGTGCTGCGCTGAGCTTCTGTTGCTGGGCTCATAAGGCCAAGCAAGGATATCTCAGCCGTGGATGAGTGTTTGAATTGCTCAGACATATTCAGCGTTTAGTCTACACCTGTGACGTGTAGTCTCCTCAGTGAAAGCCAGACAGGGCAGCGAAAACTGTCGTATGCTGGTTGCGTCCAGGGCTTGAAGATCGCCCAGTCGACGATTGAACGCTCACTACCTCCTGCCAGTCATAGCAGTCCGGTCAGCCCAGCACTCCGAGGCATGTTCGGCTTTGGGAAAAACTCGTAGCGTCAAGCCACGAGTGAACACGGACCATGTGTGATGGCAGCCTGCCTGACAGATGCGGCAAAAGCAGAAAGTGAAGGTGTCAGCTCACCCAAGTCAGAGCCGTTGAGGCACGCCTGTGAATCCCGACATGTGCTATTTGCGGTGTAGGAGACATATGGCAGAAAGTGGGGGGGGGGGGGGGGGGG